GCGCCCGCTGATGGCGGCGGGGAGGCCGGGGAGGGGAACAGAATGGAGCCGAGTTTTCCTCCTGAGAAAGTCATGTCGTGCTCCGAGCCCGCGGTACGTGGGCGAGGTGCGTTTAGTGATCCTAACGCTTATGGTTTTTTTGTTTTTTTGTTGTTTTTTTTCCCTTTAGGTCATTTTTCTTCATGGACTGGGAGATACTGGGTGTGTATTCTGATCTGTTACATACATAATACAATTTCAAATGTAAGGTTGCATGTTTTAAAAGATTTGAGCAATTAAAAGTTACTTAAGCTTCTTCTTTTGCCCTGAATTGGACGCAGTGGCTAACAACAGTTAAAACTTCATGTATGGTGGAATGATGGTGACAACAGTTCATTTAAAATTTCCTAGCATGAGCCCTTGAAATGTTTTTCAATCACCAAGCCAGTTTGTTCTGAGTGTCAGCCCTGTTTTGTTCTCGAGTCAGACTTTGTGGAAAATTAAGTCTGTGGGTTGATGATCTTTTGCTTTCTTGAGAGTGGGTTCCTGGGTATTCCTGTGCTTGTCTAAATTTAGAGTTCTTTTTTCTTCTCCGGTCTTGTGGATTGCTGGTTCGCTAGTAGGTACGGCTAGTCCATGGGGTTTTTTTCAGTATGTCACACTTACGTTAAAAGCCAGGCTTACTTGATTTATCTGAGCAAACTCTTTAAGTAGTCACCTAATGTCTAAAGATTTCTGGATTTGAAACGTGGTCTTCCTATTCTAGAAGAAACACCCCCAACTGTGAAATACCCTGTTTGCCTTGTTCCTGTTGTTTCTACATTTGCGTGGAAATGGAAAGAGCAGAGAATTTCTGTGAGACATGCCAGGTGTGGTGTGTAGTTTCCATTTGAAGCTTGCTTATGCCAAGATAGAAGCATGTATTGAGGCGATTGAATTAACAAGTTAGGAGTGTGTTGAAACCCTTTTTAGTGGAAGACTTTAAAGGAATTGGCACATGGATACTGAAAATAAGTAGCATAATGCTTTGTGTATTCTCCTCCCCTATGGGCAAAATTGCATAATATATTTTCAAGAACTCTGTTACTTGGAACGTGGATGGTGGCTCTAGGTTGAAACTTGCTATGTTTAAGACATAAACTTTTTCTGAAGAACTGAAAAAAGAAAAAAGTCAGCTGCCAAAATTAAAACTTGTGTAACCTGGACAGTTACTAAGTTAAAAAGAGTCAAGTCCATGCACTTTGCAGTAAGCTACAAGTGGAGACATTTGCTCACATTTGTTGTGCTGACACATCACCACTTCGTTGCGTTATCCCTCTTCCCTTCTGCTGGCAGGAGGCAGCAGTACTGCCTGCATCTTGGCACCAACTGTTCAGCAAGTGATTGCAGAGTCTTTTGAGTCTTTAGAACTTGAGTCCTTGCAAATCAGGTTGATGCTGGGTTTTGGCAAGGGGGAAAAAACCACAGAGATTTGCCTGTAACTTAAGTTGTATTCCTTACACAGATGTGGTATTTCCTTTTTGGTGACAAAGCTAACACACAGTCTCCAGGTTGCAGATGCACCGAGCATACTGGAATGGATGCTATTAACAAGTCATGACACGTTGGCGGGAATACGGTGATTGAGCTGTATTTGTTCCTCTAGTCCACTGACTGATCAGATGAGCTAAAACTGCATTTGACATACTGCCATGTTTTGGTGGGTGGGTTTTTTCCTCCAAAAAAAAAAAGCTGTAGTAGTGACCCAAAAAAGAATTGTCTGAAGAGAACTAATTAAATATTTTATAATTTCCCACAGTTTAAACTGAGCTGTTGTACTTCACATGAATTTTTAAGTTGCTCACTTCAGTTTAGCAACTGTATTTTTCTTACTCTGAGAAGCATCTAACAGAGATTACGTTCTTTTTTTCTCTTAGTTCCTATATAAATGGCACTTAAAGATTGGTACATACTTGTCAAAATCTGAAATAAGGTACAACATAGAGGATTGTTCTAAGGAGTCCGTGTAAATTTGTATACAATGCTACTTTCCAAATTTGCCAAATTAATCTTTATAGCTGGCAAAAAAAGCCTAAATTCTTGCCTAACTAGTTTTTGTCAGTAATACTGTACCCTTAGCTTCTTATTATCTTACTATTTTCTAGCAGCACAAGTATTACGCAAGTAATATTACCCAAGATTTATTAATGATGTGTGTAAAAGCATTGGTAGGAAATATGCCGAGATATGCAGCCAGTTTTCAAATATCTGTGCTGTGTTTGTGTTTGAAATGTCTTTAACTTTAGGTAGCCTACATTAACTTTTCAGGGTGAAGTGAAACTAAACCAAACATGCTCTTAGGGCTTGTCTGCTGTTGCTCTGATTAGTTCAGCTGTGCCACTGGTGAATTTGTTAAAGGTGTTCTCTGCTTAGAGAACAGTTTTCCCGTATCTGGTTTAATATGTGAGTTCGAAATATTGATTAATGAGAAAAATCAGGAAATACAGGTACTACTGAGTGTTCTGGAAAGCCAAGTGCAGGCACAGGCAGTGGTTCTGCACAGAATCAGATTTGGGACTGGCTTGGTTCATGTCTAGATGAGCGCTGGAGTGAATCTTTTGGAGCTGTTTATTTAAATTATGCTTTCCGGTTTTCTTGTTTGTATAAAGATTGATAACTCATCTGCTGTGTGGATCCCATGTTGTTCTGGACATTCATACAGCATGTGCTTGAGATTAAAAAGCTACCTGCAGTCTGAGGGGTTGTTCAGGACAGCCTGAATCTAAGAGCACTCGAGCTGAGCCAAAGTTAATAATTCTGAACTAAAGTGAGTAAGTCTGGTCAGTGAGGTTGGTTCCATGTGCAGTTAGCTTAGCCGTGAGTTTGCTGCTCTCCTATGTGAAGAAATGTGGTTCAGAAAAAGCAACGTGGCTTTGAAAGAAGCTGCAGGAGCAGCAAAGCAGCCTCTGGGCTAGAGTTTCCTGGGAGCAGGATACCTGGTGTTTGTATGTTGTGAAGCCCAAGTTGATAAAGCCAGCCAGATGCAGAGCAGGCTTTGCCCAGAGCCAAAGTGGTATTGCTGCAGCTGTGATAGTCATGTCATAAAATCATAGCATGGCCTGGGTTGTAAGGGACCTTAGAGATCATCTAATGCAACCTCCTTGCCATGGGCAGGGACGCCTCTCAACTAGATCGGGTTACTCAAGGCTTCATCCAACCCGGCCTTGAACACCTCCAGGGAGGGGGCAGCCACAGCTTCTCTGGGCAATTTATTCCGGGGTCTTGCCACCCTTGTACTGAAGATTTTCTTCCTAGGATCCAGTCTAAATCTGTTTAACTTAAATCCATTTCCTCTTGTCCTATTGATGGACCCTCTTGTAAAAAGTCCCTCCTCAGCCTTCCTGTAGCTTCCCTTCAGGATACCCCCAGAGTCTTCTCTTTTCAAGACTGAACAATCCCAATTCCCTCAGCCTGTCCTCATGGCAGAGGTGCTCCAGCCCTCTGCTGGAGATAAGGTCTCCCTGGCTCTGTATATGCAATATATTCAGAGGCAGAACAAAACTTTTAGGTCTAGCACCATATTCATAGTATACTGCAGTTGGTATAAAAATTTTTGAGAAATGTGTTTATATTAATCTAATCCAGCATATTTCATACTTGGTCTGTCCTGATGCACCAAGGTAGAGCTAAGCCAAAACGTAAATGTCATTTAATGTATTTTTTGCCAACAGGCACGGATGGTCAGAAGCACTTGCAGGTATCAGAAGTCCACATGTAAAATACATTTGCCCACATGCGTAAGTTTGTAACTTTTCTTTTGTGACTTTATGTTTTCACTGTATAGAATTGTTTGTTGCCTTTGTTTTCCCAGCAGTCTTAAAAGCCTGTGTCAACAAGTAATTTTTTGTATTTTATTGACCATTAAATATACTTTGTATTAGGTATGTGACTTCTTAAAATGAAGTCTGTGTATAGTAAATGAAATTATGCTGTTACATAGAGCAAGTTTCAAAGATTCCCCGGATATTGATATTTTCCGCAAATGATGCAATTAGAGCTGTCTTTGTGCAATTTGAGAAATGAAATACTTCTGAGCAGGGTCAAGAGTCAGTAAATTAAGCATTAAGATCTATCTAGGATCTTCTTAGTAATAGGAAAACTAAGTATAATCTTAAAGATGTTGACACCAAATTCAGACTGTCTTTTGCTCCAACAGACTTGGGAGATGTGGAGCAGGGATGACAGGGAGATAAGTAAGCAGTGTTTTGAGGTATTACTGAGTACTGGGCTGTGATTTATTTGTTTATTTTACCACATGGCCGCACTTTGCTGAGACATTCAAAAAGAGCTTAGCAATATCTGCTGCTCTCTTTGCTTGCCCTTTGTCTTCTTTCAGTCTTTCCCCACAGAACTTACAGTTCTCAGTTTCCGTAGATTAAAACTGTAGCCAGATTTGATCCATGGCATGGTCCACTGGAGTTGTTTTGGTACGTTTGAAAAGATGCCATAGAGCAGCATAAGGGTGGGAATGAGTTCTGCAGCAAAGGCAGATGCTGCTGTTGGGAGAGACACATGTGGCTGGACTCAAACCCACCATGGTGCTGTGTTTGACTGCTCCCTTAGGTTTGCTGGTGCTGCTGTAGAAGTGCCTTCATCTGCTGAGCGCATGTATGGAACTGCAATAAGTAACTGCTACGTAGAAATAATCTAATGAGATATATATACGTATATATATGAATATAAAATATATATAATAAGAATGTGATACACATGCACTCACACACAGAGACATATATATAAAGCAGCCTGTTGATGTTTTGCTTGCTCTCCACAGAGGGTGATAATTCAGTCCTTAATATTAAATGTGATTGAGCTGGCAGGTTTCAAGAGAGATTTCTCAAAGAGACGCTGCAAAGTAGCTAATGTTAATTAGGGTTTAAAAGTATAACAGAAGTAGGATTATGTAGTGTCTTGATGTAACTGCATCTGCTTCGTTAAATTTCAATGCATATCTTACGTCAGCGGCATTTGTTCTCATTTCTAGGCCAGTTATGCCCGTTTCTTTGAACATGAACATGGCTATGCCATCATGGTAAGTATTTGTTTAATTGCAGGCAATTCTAATCCAAAGTTATCCAGGAGTTTTAACTCATTGTTCTTCATTAAAAATCATGAACAATCTGTTTGGCTGATTTTAATCACATCTAAGTATAAAAGACTTTTTGCTTTAGAGCTGTTCTTATAAAAGGCTTACACGACTATACTAATTCTCCTTGTGTACCTGTGGTAATGATTATTCCTCAGGATCAATCTGTATGTCTTAAAGTACAAATCCCACTTTATTTTGCAAGTATAGTATGTAATGTGTATGAATTCAGTCAGTAGTTTTAGGGACTTGTAGTGGAAGTATTATTGCTACCAATGAGTAGTATTTGCTGGGTCAGTAGGAAGTCTAGAAGCTGTTCTTTAGAACATCCATTCGAAATAGAGAACAAGAAAAATGCAGTAGATTTCCATGGTCTGAAAACAGTCCTCTTCAGTTTTGTTTTTTTTTTTTTTCCTCAAGTAACTTGTATTTGGTTTTCCTATATTTCTTCAAACAGTATATTAATTTTGTACACACAACTGCTAAGTTGAAATTTCTGCTGGTATTTTTGCAACAAATATCAAAATTGAACTGCTTAATCTTCAGTAAATTACAGAAGATACCAAAACTCAGAAAAGCGTTGTGGACTAGATCTAGCCTTTTGGCAACATTCACAGATTGTCCACTATTTCACGTAATCTATAGGTGGTTGGTACAAAATAATATGTCAGATAGTGCTGTTATCTGGAAAGTATCCCAATTTTACTGTCTATGTTTTAAGGAAGTGGAATGGATGCTCTAATGAGTAATGCTCTTGTTGATATTTTTGTAAGGTTTGATATCATTGGACTTTCTCCAGATTCACAGGAAGATGAAGCTGGGATCAAGCAGGCAGCAGAGAATGGTATGCTTAGGAATACTTTTTACTTCTTAAAAGTACTTCCATGTATTCTTAAAAATGAATTATCAGTCTGAAACAGATTTTCCTAAACCAGAATTATTATGAAAAGTACTATGAGTATATTAACATTATTGCTGTTCAAAATTTTTCTAAGTGCTGAGGTTGTTTTGTGGTGTTTTTTCTTAAACTTCCTGAGTAAGTAGAGTAATTCATCAGTACAAACACTTCATACTCTCAATGTACATGGGAGCTAGTGTAGTGTTTTGTTTTTTTTAAAGAGCTTCTGGGCGTCACAGCAGGTTAGAGCTGTACAAGCATCCACATGTAATGCTGGATAGAGGAGGATACCTTCTTCCTGGCAGTGGCGCTATTGCAAGACTTACTTGCATGTTTTTCTCTCTGGAAATGGCACTGAAATTTCTGATCATGCTCTAGATCTGATATTTTTTAATGTCTAGCAGGCTAGATTTTCCTTTCACTAGCTTTTAGTTGACATTAGGGAGAAGGTCTCTTTCCTCTTCTAGACTTTTTACAGGATGGACTGATTTTTAACTACTTGTCTTTATTTGTGTTGCAGTTAAAGCACTGATAGATCAAGAAGTGAAAAATGGAATTCCTTCCAATAGAATTATTCTAGGAGGCTTTTCTCAGGTAAGGTATGGTTGGAAAGAACTGTGTCTTTTTCTAGGGTAGTAGCCTAGCTTTCCTAAATGGGAAATCCAGACACTTGAATTGAAAAGAGCTGATATTAGATGCTTCTAAAATTTTAAGATGTCACTTTGCCTTAACAAGTGAGATACTTCAGTTTTATGCAAGTAATTACTGTTCACTGGAAAATGAACATGCACATGGAAAAAAATAATAAGATTAATAGTCTATTTAAAGTCTTTATGCATGTAACTTACATAGCTTTGCTTGGAAACATTGCTAGCATTTTTAATTTAACTTTAATTTGATAGATATTTGATTGTCTGGATTTACTTGGGAAATTCTTCCCTTTCTGCTGTTTTGTCAATTGACAAGGGTCTGCAGAAAGGACACAGACACCAACAAAAGAGTAGGCTTATCTCACTGTCTATTTTAAGGTATTACAAGAATAAGGCAACGCACTTAGTTGAAACAATAAGCTTATTATATTCTAGTTTTAAGGAGCAAGGAGAATAAACAGGGTAATGCACCTATTCGTTACTACCTAAGGTTAAGGACAGTGATTAAGAAAGATACCTCACCGTTTGCCCTCAGGCTTTACCATCATCCAGATCCGCAGACACTGGGGAGCCCCTGTTGCAGCGAGGATTTGGAGCACCTGTCCCAGCAATTGGGAAGCCCTACACAATGCATCTACTCATGGGGGAGATCTCCAAAGTCGCTGCAAGAGGGTCCAGGTCATCTACTGTTGGATAAACAACCTTACATAACTTCAAATATGGGAACATCATGTCATCCTCCTTGTTGAATTCCACCCAAAGCCTGGCCAGGACTAAAGGAGGAATGCAAGGGAGTTTCTCTGTCTAAGTTGGTCCAAGGGAATCTCTTTATCTAATTTGGTCCAAGGGAGTTTCTTTACCTATTTGGGCTTTAATCATATTTCTCAACAAGGCCAGAGTTCTGGTCTCATGGTCTTGTAACATGCCTCTAGATAAAGAGCGAGCATTCTGCTGGTTACCGCTGAACAGTAAGCATTACAGCAAAACTTTATAGATTGGCATCAGAGTATATATATATTTATACTAAAATAGATTAGTAATACATTACATATGCAATTGATACTATGTGCAATTAATACTCCATATATTAGATATATTGTTGCGTTGTGAAGTTCATCTGTAGGTCAACTTTAGCTCAGGGTCTACTGGTCAGGCCCCAGCACTTCATGTACTTGTAAGATGTCTATATTAGGGATGTTAATAGATTAATTGATCCGTACACCAACTCCACCAGTCTACGTGACGGTAAATTAAAATATTAAAATATTAAAGTAGTGATAATACTGCCAGGAGTGATAGTGCCTTGTATCATATTTTGTGGTTTTTTTCTTTCCCAGCTGTTAGTTACAATAAATGTACTGATTTACTTCTGAATTCATCACATGGACTTGGGGGAAGGGAAAGCAAAGCAGATGTACAGGAATAGTAGTGTTGGTTCTAAGGAAGAATAGATTGAAATAGAAAAAGACTTTTAAAGGAGAAACCAAAGATGCCAAAAGAAGCATTAAAAGGAACACGACCATCACCATTCTAATACTTATGTCTGTTTGTCTTAGGGAGGTGCTTTGTCGTTGTACACAGCTCTTACAACCCAACAGAAATTAGCAGGTGTTGTAGCCCTCAGCTGCTGGCTTCCTCTACGGGCTTCTTTTCCTCAGGTATTTATATTTCTTTCCTACGCTAGTTTGGACTTACTTAGGGAATGAGTATATCTGAAAATTTTATCTTGTACAGGAATTAGTGGCCATCTTCATTGCTGAGTATTGACAGTTATTTGATAACTCAGAAGTTTTTAAGATAGGGCCCTGGAGTTTTAGTTTGGCAGGTAGAGAAACTAAGGCAATACACAGTAGCTATCTGTGCTTAAAATGAGATTCTTAGGAAACTTAAAGGATACAGCAAATTTTCCTTGAAGATAAATTTTCTGTTTGCTATCTTATTAAAGACTAGGTATTTAAACAAAGTACCAGAGTTTTTATTTGACTGGAAGTATGCTCTTCTGTTCTGAAATTATTGCCAAAATTATATTTGCACTCTTTTGAGCTTAATGTGTTGTCAGGCGCAGAGTTTACTTCATAAGGAACTTGGAGATTATACACTGTGATTTTTTTTTTCCTTCAGAATTCAACTCACTTGTCATGGCACAGGACGTGGTGCCATGGGGTTATTTTTTTCTTGAAGATGTTAGCCTTGCCTCCTCTCACTGTCTCTTCTTCTCATCCCTCCTCTAATTCCACCTTTAACAGGGCCCTATCAGTGGTGTCAACAAGGAGATTGCTGTTCTTCAGTGCCATGGGGACTGTGACCCGTTGGTTCCTTTAATGTTCGGTTCTCTTACTGTTGAGAAGCTAAAGAGTATGATAAATCCAGCCAACGTAACTTTCAGGACTTACTCTGGCATGATGCATAGCTCATGTATTGAGGTAATTTTCTTAATACGCAGTGTTTTAGCTGGGTATGATTATTTTTTTTCCCTCAAAACAAACATTGGGTGTGGAGAGAGGTTGTGTTGGGTTTTGTTTGGTGGATTGGTTTTGGTTATTTGTTGTTGTTTGTTTCTTTTTTTTTTTTAATAACAGGTGCTTGATGCTACTAACTTATTTTACTGAGTAACTGACTGCTTGGCTGAAAAAGCATCCAAGGCAGAAGTCTCTATGACTAGTGGGAGCTTTCTCATAAGATTGTATTTTTGGGACTAGTCTATTTGGTCTATAAATGCTTTTTTTTCCCCCTAATTTTTATTACTTATTTACGGAAAAACCCCTACGGAATTGGAAGGCAGACTCTCACAGCCTATTGGCTGGTATTTTGGAGAGAAGAATCTTCCTAGTTCAATGCATGGAGACATGGAAGGAATGGAGAAGGGAGGGTTGACGCTATGGAAGTGGCAGCTTCAGATCCTGTATTTATGGTTGTGGCTAAGCAGGTCGCTGAGCTGATGTAATGGCTCGCTGCTGCCAAAAAGTAGTGGACTAGTTCCCTCTGCTAGTGACCTTGTGGCCCTCTCTTCTTTCTTGAACCAGCTCTTGAGCTGATGAGAAACTTCTTCGAACCATTTGAACTTGCTAAAATGGCAAAAGCTGCTGGCTTCAGTTTTTGCAGCAGTAGCGATCCAAAGTGTCAGAACGCACACAGAGTAAATGGTAAGAGCAAGGAACAGGAGAGGAGTCAAGGACCAAGTCTTCCACTTGTTAGCAGCAGTAACTTTATTATTGGCTTGCTGCATCTTGTGGGAACTTAAATAACCTTTCTGGGACCTTTGCACAGTCGTATTGCTTGTAGGCAGTAGTAGCACTGGTATATATGAATAACATGCTCTTTCTTACAACATTGACAAAAAAATAGAATTAAATTTATTTTAACATGAATTAGTGTCTCGGTCTAGTTCACTATATTGCTTTTCCTTAGGGAAGGAAGTACCGTGAAGGTGAAACTGAATGGTTAGGAGGAGGAGCTGCTGGCTTTTCGCACTGCTGCTAACTTGGAAAAGTTTAAAGTATACATGAAGCTACAGCCTTAGCTACATTCATACGTAGCCTGGTGCTATTCAGATCACCTGATGATTAATAAGTGTCTTGGCTGCTCAACTTCAGGGAGAGAAAAAAAAGTAGTCTTTGCTCTTTTTTGTATGTTGGCCTCTTCTGAGAGCACAATGCCTTGAAGAGTTACCAGCCTTGACTTGCTGTGTGCAAAGTGGTATGATTTTATCAAGTAAGGAATTACTCAATATTTGTAGCCCAGCTTCTCATTGTAACTGAAATGTTGAAATGTGATTCAGTGTAGCTGAATATATATTAGTAGGGAACTTCAACTAATACGTATTTTTATCTTTAAACAGGAGATGATGGATGTAAAACAGTTCATAGACAAACATCTACCTCCCGTAGACTGAAATGATATGTGAGAAGCCTTCTATATAAATCACCAGCATCAACTGTGGTAGAGTGATAATCTTTTCATATGCCTGATAGGAAGCGTTACTTCTATACCTGCAGTGTTACTACTGTGTTGCAAATTTATACTTAGGATGAGGATTAAATAACACAGATGTACAAGAAATGATAATCTTTTTAGTGTTAATCATCCACTGGTGGGACTTCATGAATGAGGCAGCTATGTAAATGTGCCAGAATGTAACCGAAGCATACTGTTTTAAGATGTCTGATTTTTTTTTTTGATTACAGAATTTTTAACTATTTGTACAGGCAATTCAAAACTGAATTTAAGCAAGCAACGTAAATGTGACTAGTTTAGTTAGACTTGAGACATGATTTGTTCTTAATACTCATTGATAACATTTTAAAACATTTCCTTTATGTAATGGATGCATAAAATAATGCAACATGTAACGTAGTGGGCATATGATGGTAGAATAAATGCTACCAAGGACAAAGCTTTAATTATTAAATCTTAATTGTTACTACCGGTAAGGAGGATTGTTCTTCTATAACGGCTACAAGTCAGCAAAGGTATTTTATGTAAGCCACTTCAGTTTTTAACTGATTTCCTATAGGTAGATATTGCGGAAATTCTAAAGGGACTCATTCTTTGCTAGGCTGTCATTTGTAGGTTATTGTCTTTTGTTTGTTTGTTTTGATTACTATAAACTCATGTCAAATGCTGACTTGGAACAGAATTCTGAAGAAGCACATAGCATTAGTTTGAGTTTCATTTTAAAATTCCTCTTTTCCTACTGAATATTCATTTTGTGCTTTAGACTTTGTAGCTTTCATTTGTGTAGAAATGTTGAGCAATTCCTGCATGTAGTTTTAAATTTTTTTTTGTCTGTTTTCAAATAACACAGCTGTGTAGTTGTGTGTATTGTTGAACTCTCAACTTTAACAAAGACATGGAATAATTTGAATTTTTTTAAATAGAAATCTAAGTGCAGTTGGGATAATAACTTAAACTTTAAATTGATACCACCTAATACTTTTTTTTATCACATGTTGAGGTTTGATCTTTTTTTCTGCAAAAGTACAAAGAATTTTATTTTCAAATATACCATTGTGCATTTCTGTAGATCAGTATAGCCTAGCAATATGAAGACCTACTATGGAAAAAACCTTTAAACCTACAAGATACAGAATGTCTCGTCTTGCAGAACCTTAAAATTCTAGAATGCGCGCTGGGTTATAGAAATTGATGCACACTCGAAGTTTTTGCAGTTGAGAGCCATAATTTACTTCTGGAAATATTGTCGTTTTGTAGAGTTCAGAGACTGTCACCACGCTAAGAATGTTTAAAAATTGCACTACAGGTTTTACTACGTAATATACTGCATAACAATGTTCTATACTATATGTTATTTCTGTTTTGGATGCATCTGTCATGTCAGCACTGTGCTTCATATCTGCATTTAAGGTACTTTGTCCCTCTCCCAGCTTAATAAAGTGATCCTCTTACAGCGTATATAGATTTACATCTGAGGCATCTGCCAGTACGAATGCATAAATGGGGAATTTTGCCTTTATATCCCTTCTTTAACACAGCTGATGCCAGGAATCTGGCTTGTTGACCTAGTGTGAGTTCTTGGTTTTCAGTATTCTTTTTCCTTTGTTTTGCACTTTGCTTTCACAAAGCTGTTTTTCTCTTCTAGTCCATTTTCTCTGGATTATTAAACATCTCTTAATATGTAAAATTGAAAAGGAATTTTTTTTTCTGAGTGATACTGAAACACATTTAGATCCTCCATCTGTGTGGTTGAGAGGGCATGTCTATTGACTTTGAAGTTTAATTAGTCTTTTCCCTCAGTCACTCTGCTCTATAGATCTGCCAATTTGTCTTTCAGTTAATTTAGTTCTCAGAAGAAACCATAATATTCTTATTGTAGTTGTGCCAAGGTTCTGTTGAGAATGCAGTATGTCCTAGCTTGGAGTCATTCCCAAATTGCATTAGCTAATTTTACAGTCCTGCTATTTGTAAGCAAACTGCATGTTATTTCTCCTAGTTTGTAGGTCTATCCTCATTTCCCTGTTGTCTAAAAATTTCCCCGAATATTAGTATTTTCCCAGATTTCTTGCACGAGCTTCTAATTTTTCCTTTATTATTTTCTTTTTCCATTTCAGCTGTCTTGTTCAACTTCTGATTGAACGCGTGCTCATTTCACATGTTCTTTCTTCTATTGGAAGGAGTTTAAAAAGTATTTTAAGATGTTAAAATCAGATCAGTCCTAGCTTTATTCTGTATTAGCTTCATAACACTTCCTTCTGTTTGGTGAACTGTGTTCAGAGCTTCTGGTCAACTTCTAGTACTTACGCATTTTAGTCCAAGTTGGCTTCAGCTGTTGTCTCCGTGATGCTTTCAGATGTTTTTCTAGAAGTGCTTTATGTGCTTTGCTTAAGTATTCACTTACGATAGCAAGATTTTTTTTCATACCATTTTGCTGCTTGTTTTATCTACAGAGAGCTGTATTACCAAAGTAAATGTAAGTAATTGTTGTGGCTTATTCTGAATTTTTGTACTCCAGGAAGAATTTCCCTCAAGGTTGGTTGTGGTTTTTTTTCCAGGAGTTTATGTTCATGTTGTAGTTGGGGGTTGTTAAGGAGCCCAAAAGTCAGAGGAAACTTCAAGAATGTGTTCTGTCTCCTCTCATATTATAGTGTGTATCCTGAGCTCCTGTTTTTGTAACTTCCCAGCTGGTTGGAGAGCTCTGTGTATGATCTTGCAGCTGAACTTCTTCACTACCTGAAGTGATTTGATGCTGGGATTATTGTCATAATTGTGTGTATTTCTAGGTTGAATGATAACTCAGTCTGATGCGGAGCTTTTCATAATGTTCTGTTACAGTGGAGGGGTTGGACTGCTGGTGTTCTAAATGTGAATGTCCTATACTCATCAACTGCAATTTGAAACTGCCCAATAACGATTATTTTTTGTAATGTTACACATTCTCCCATAGGGCATGGTGTCTGTCAAACCTGCAGAAGCATAGATACGAAAATACCTTGCTGGCAGACCAGTTTTGTATCAATGGGTATCTAATTCCCTAGTGCTTTTTAAATTTCAAAATGGTACTTCAATTTGACTGCAGTTTTGTGCAGTCGAAAGTCTGACTTGTTATTGGAATTATCTTGCCCTCTTATTGGTAAACATGTTGAAGTATGTATTATAAGCCAAATCTAACCATTCTTGAGGGAAACCTGTACTGGGGTCTGTACTGTGGTGAAGGCTGTATGATTTAGTCTCTTCCTCCTATCTTGTATAATTACAACACAGTAGATTGGTAAAAGTACTGTACACTGTAACTGGTATTAGAACTAATTAAAACATGTTCTCTCTAATGGAGTATACTGCACTTCATTGAAATCACTAGGATGCATCTTTTATGTAGAGGTGCTTCTTGTGTTGATGGTTGTGACTGAAGAACAAACTGTGTAAGATAATGAAGCCATATGTACAAGGCTTGTGTATCTTAAATTTTATAAAGAAGTACTGAGCACTTATTCCTTGCGTTATGAAGTATAAGCCATTTATATTTAATATAAACATCTAAGATGTAATTTACTTAGTTTACTCATTTTATTTATGATAAGAAATCTTGACTTTGGGAATTATCTCTGTAATAGGGAGAACGTAAAATCTTTCAGTTTTCATCATTGTGAAATAAATTTCAGTCAGTGTTTGGGCAAGTACTAAAGACTTTTTCCATATTTCCCTAAAAGAAGTTGATCCTTCATGTGCTGTGAAACAGGCACCTTGGAGGCCTCTTGCAAGTGTATTGCATGGTAACTTGTGCATGATGCTATAATAAGAAAGAACAGTGAGTTGTAGTTACTGAAAAAAAAAAATCAGGTTATGTTTTGCTGCTTTGTTGTGAGAATGCCAAGTATGATTTTATTTTTTTCCTATTCTCAGTTTATTTTAACTCTTTTTCCTGGAATTTGCAGTAATTTTGAAAGGTAGAGGAAATGAAAGTATTTTCTAGTAGCCTTATTTGAGGACACGAAAGAGCCAAAGTCTTCTCACTGCGTACTGCTACACCTTTCTCTGGGGGTTCTGTGGTGTGCGGAAGCCTTTGAAGTTATATTAAGTTTGGCATCTATACCACTTCACGTATTTGTTAAACAGTTTTCAGGTCAGGGGTTACACATGCTCTTTAGGTTAACTGAAATACTTGAGACTAATCAGTGGTGTACATAGAGTGGAGCATTCTAGAGAAAACTCGAGGTTATCTGGGAAGGGATGCTGAGGAAACCTGAGGAAGTGGGGTGTACATGTAGCAATGGGAGACTTTTCCTCTCAGGCGGTTTAAAGCAACTAAAAAGCCACTAATCTCCATAGCCCAAAAGTCAGCGTGGGGAGCAGTTAGCAAGTTCATGAGGTGCATGTCAGACGCAGCGCCGCGTGTGAGTGTAGTGCGGCAGCTTAAGGGTATAGGAACAGCTAGGAACAATAAAGATGAAATACTATACAGTCTCGTGTGTCAGTTTATGGAGAGGTAATGTTCAGTTTCTATTTACTTTCAGCCCTGGCACCGCTGAGGACACAATTGTGAGAAGCGTTTTCCAGAATTAGCATAGGAAAAAAATGACAATGTACTGTTGCATTAGACTCTATCAAATGTAGTATGAGACCACTGGTGTCAGTGAAGAAGGTGACTGGAGAAGTTTTCAGAATGTCTGCTAGTTAACTTGGATGTGGGATTCTTTGAAGAATAATAGCTGCAGAGCGGATTATTTTTTTCCTTTTTCTTTCCCCTCTTTTCATTGCTTGCCACTTTCATATTACCACCATTTGCCTTTGGGATAGCAGGTTTTATTAGTTCTCTTTGAATGAAACAAATACCTTTGATGTAGCTGATTAAAGCTGATTTAAACGAAATGCATGCATAATTTAATGGACATTGCCTCCTTTTTCTCTGCAAGACTTGTAAAACTTAAAACTTCTAGCCAGTTGCTGAAGTGGAGCGAACTTTGCT